TCCCCATGCCACACCCCACTGTCCCCATGCCACACCCCACTGTCCCCATGCCATGTCCCACTGTTCCCATGCCACGTCCCACTGTCCCATGCCACATCCCACTATCCCCATGCCACACCCCACTGTCCCCATGCCACACCCCACTGTCCCCATGCCATGTCCCGCTGTTCCCATGCCACGCCCCACTGTTCCAATGTCACGTTTCACTGTCCCCATGCCACGTCCCACTGTCCATCACTTTGTTTACTAGGTTAGTGTATGACAAAGTGGGGGGCTGCGGCCCCCTGGGGTGCCGCCAGGTGGTACTAAGAGGACCTCAGAGAGATGGAGAGAAGAAGATTAAAAAAAGCAAAAGTAAAAAATGGTAATAATAATAAAAATTGCCACTAAAACAATCTGTGTCTGTTGTCTCCAGATAAACACGCATGAGAGAGGTTAGATTTGTTTTGTTCCTCTGGTCAACAGTTTGAAGATAAAACAGTGTTTAAACATGTTAGTTAATGACATTTTGAGTTAATCAAAGTTAAAACTTTATCAAAGTTGATGTTTTGTTACATGTTTTGTAACATTGTGAGGGGGGCCTCGACCAGAAGCTAATGCTGTTTTTTTTGTTTGTTTGTTTGTTTGTTTTTTTTGTGGGGGGGGGTGGGGCATGGAAAAGTTTGGGAACCCCTGGACTAAGTGATGCATCTACACTGGATCTGACTGAATAAACTAATCTGTGGTTCTTCTGGCCCTAAATATATCTATAAATGTTAACCACAGGTAGCAGAAGAGATGGGAAAAACAAAATGTTAGCTAAAAGGAGCAGAGTAGTAGCTAAAAGCGAAATGTCTCAGAAGTCAAAACAGCTGAAGCTAAATTTTAACAAAATAAAGTTTTTAAAGGAGCTGAATTGATCTCGCTGTGTTTCTATGGTGAAAATATTTTTAAGTTAAATATTTAGAAAACAATAAAAGTTACAAAAACTGCACGTAGCAGAACCAGCTGCTAAATGAGCCGAAGGTTCTGCTGTATGAACGGCTGAAATAGCTCAAAGAATGCAGCGGTAGTTAGGAGAGCAAACGAGGGGAGGAAACAGGAGGCGGCGGGGAGATAAGGAGAACAGGAAACGAGTCCAGATTAAGTTCTAATGAGACCAGAACCAGAACAGGTTCTTCATCATCATCATCATCTTCAGACGGGCAGAAAACAACCAGAAGCTGCAACACGAGGCGTTCTTCAGCTGAGCATTTCTGGGATTCCAAATTGATCAGAAACATGTTTTTATGGCATCCAGCTGGTGGACCGGGCCGGCACCAGAGAGCCGGACCGGTTCAGCCCAGCAGAACCCTGGAGACAACAGTGTGACCCACAGACGTGTTGGAGACGACGCTCGGCTGCTGCAGGACAAACGTTAGCTCAACATCTGGACCGAGGGACTGAGCCACGCTCAGGTTGATTAGCTGCGGCAGCCATCTTGGATCTGGTTGACCCCACAGGTCAGCTGCAGACGTAAACGCAGCTGAAGGCCCACTGGCTCAGGAGATGTTTTGCTAACAGGGAGCAGCGAGCCGTTCTTATGTTTGACGTGAGGCGTTAAAAATCTTTGACGTTGTTCCGTTTAGTTTTAAACGTCCTCTGTGAGTAAAATAAGTCCATAGAAATATTTTAATAAACAAAGAACACTTTTATAAACATAAAAATGACTAAATGAGGTCAAAAGGTCATTTAACTACTTTAGTGATACAAAAATACATATTTCTGTAACACAAACAAAAGTCTTAAATCAATTCAAAGAATAAAAACATTTTGATTCTAATTTGTGACAAAAGTGTTTTAATCTGACATCACAGATGATGACCTCCTGACCCCCATCACCAACAGGCTGTTAGCGTGTAGCGTGTAGCGTGTAGCGTGTAGCATGCAGTTTACCAGCAGCAGCACGGTGACGCAGATGGAGAGCCCTCGTAGAAAACTCCAGCAGCGAGCCATGACCGCCGCCTCAGAGAGCCCAGCTGAAATAGAAACAGTCCAGACCAGAGCTCTGAGTGTGTGTGTGTGTGTGTGTGTGTGTGTGTGTGTGTGTGTGTGTGTGTGTGTGTGTGTGTGTGTGTGTG